GGCCAACACTAACTTCATTCAATTCATTCTAATATTCAAGTTAATTTTAGAAGTGATCATTAGTTACCCCATATTTCTTGTTTGTTTACATAAGATTATAAAACAGTGTTTTTATTTATTATGGAATTAGGTCATACCAAATACGACACATATTTTGTTCTTTCATACTTTGACATACGGTGATTTATTAGCATACCGTATTATTGAAATGTTTAATTAATTCTGGTTTAAACTCATTAACGTCAGAGAACGTGATTATATGACTACGCTGGTATAGGACTACAGATACAGAGATGAAAAAAGAGAGGAAGTTTCCAAAAAAGTTCTCACAACAAATCCTACACAGTAATATATTTTAATGGATAATCCGATCGCTTAGAATGTTAAAGGTCGATTCATTTTTAAAATGACTGAAGAGGTTTTATAAACGTTTGTTTATTGTTAACTAAATTATTGTATGATGATTGAATTGTATGTTGTTATGGCAGAATTAAATAATGAACAATTTCGTAAGAAGTATTTGTATTCAGCTTGATACAGCGATTGACATAGCTCTTATCAGCTCAAAAACTAAGAAGAATATTTAGAGACCTCTAGTTTGCCTGACAACTTAACTAGCACACAAAGCTTGTGGTACAAATTCGAACATTGATTGTGGAAGCATGCTGCATTGTTTCCAAAGGAAATACAACTACGAACACAACATTATACCTTACAAACTATCCAGAACTTTATTTATTGTGGTTATATCTGGTGGAAACACAAAAATGATCAGACTATTCGATTAAAAAGTTACATGCGGATCAGAACCGAGAACCCGATAATCAGGTACGAGGAGAAAGCCTTATTACTAAGACATCACCACGTGTTTACTGAACGGGGTGGAGACTGCACGAGGACAAATGCATTACTAACCCTCATACCTGAACTTCTCAGATGGTACTGCACCGATAGTGCTAGTGGTATAAACTCTTATCTGATGACCAGGAATCAAACTAAGTCATCAAATATGAAATGACAAAGACTCAACTGAAAACAGAGTAATTATAACTACTAATTGAGAATGCTTATGTTCTCATCAGTGGGTTTGTCATATGCAGCCTATACAATTGATTTCAGTGTGACATTGAAACTCAAAATCAAAGTTTGATCTTTATAGGAAGGTTTGAATTGAAATATGTGGATTCGAGTTCCGATAAAAAATTCTAGACCCACAGATAGACACATTTGCATCAAACTGTAGAGTATTTTACACCCACTTTTAGATTCAGATTACTATGATCTTATTTCATGGCCCTTAAAGAACGCTAATAACATTTGTCTACTGGATAAGTTAATTACGTTTGTGTCTTGTTTATATTGAAACCTGAAATATGTACAATATCAATATTCTGAAATGAAGATCCATCCGAACGTGAGAAGTGACTTCAGTCAGAAGATGAAGTTCATCATTTGATTTCACGAGTCACATATTCTGATTTAAACAGAGATGAATAAATAAGATGACAGTCGACCAAAATGCAAACACATTACACAAACAATTGCGCTCACACATCATCATCATCATCCTCTTCTTTTACCCTTTTTGTATGCCACAAATATCGCGTGTGTGGATAAACTTGTCGAATAACTTATAAAGTAAATACACTTAATACATTCAAATTGTGGTCGATCTTTCTAATTGTCCGAATGAGCCTTATTTTCAGCTCTTCTCGACATATGTGTACAATGTTTATCTGCAGTGGACGCCACCTTAAATACCACGACTGACAGTGGAAATATTGCTGAAGTCATATGCAATAAAAAAATTCTCGTTCATGTGTAACTGCAATGAGAAATTTCTTAAGTTGAAAAATCAGTTTATATGTTGAGGCGTTTTAGGAAGTCAGTCTTCGAAATTTTATCCATAATGACTGCTTCAAAACAGAGCTTGAAAAACAGATCGGATTTAACTGACTTAACGGCAGAACGCGTTTTTAATTATCCAGTTCCCGTTGACAGAGTGATAATAACGAGGCTGATTTAGTTTGTTCAGCAGGAATTTCAGCCTGTCCATCTGAGTTCGTAGTAATTGACAGAAGATAGTCTAACTACGTTTACTGCTTATCAATACTATTTATCAATGTGTGTCTGTAATTTCAATTACTTAGGCGACCTGCTCGAATATCTGTGCTACCTGTTCCTGTCATCTAGATATTTCAACAAGTTATCTGTTTTCTTGTTTGTTTTAATAGACTATTATGTTAATTGTCTGTATAACTTATTCAGGTACATATTTATCAGTCTCATGAGCGCTAAGGCTTTCTTAGTGCAGATCAAAACCTTCTGAACTGTAACACTATGTTGATGAGTGTCAAAAAGGTTCATGGTTTTCTGTAGACTAGCTCCACCAAAAATGTAAATACTCAACATATTGTGATTGGCGTTTATTTCAGTGATCATATTAACACGTCGTGAAAGCTGAGGAAACTTCTAATTTGACCTAAACGATATCTCAACTGAACTTATTTTCATATCTCGGTACAGATATACTCTTTGTAGGAACCGATATTGTCGTTCTTCACAGAACATTACTTTATCAAAATAAAAATTAAGTTCAACATAATTGTCTAATAGAGAAACATTAGTAATACAATTATTATTTCGCACCTAATTAATTTACACTGACGTATCAGTGTAAATCGACACTCATCAATGATGAAGTAAGGAGTATAATGCGTTGTCTATCAACAAGGTGGCTAAACAGGAATTCCGATTGCCCTAATTTTTGTCAGTACGATACCGTCACATAAAAATTCCCTTCTGGTTGAAAATAAAAGACGTCTATTGTTTTAGATTCTTCATTTGTCTGCGGTTGAAACCAGACTATGACGAAAAATAACTCGATCAGATAATTCAACATATTCCACGCCTAAACTTGTTGCATATGGATAAATAACAAAACGTAATCTGCAGCCGGTTTTCTAATACTGGATGATCAACCTTCATTCCATTATTACAAGTAGGAATGAAGATCTAATATAATATGATGTCAAAACGTTTCTCAGTACAAATTACATTCAAAATACATTGGTGGTAATCAATTAAAAATTACCTGCATTTACACCAGATGTATTCTTATTGGAACAGAAACATATATACACACACACACCATATACACACACATTCAGAAGTACTCAACGAATCGTTTTCTGTTTAAGTGAATTTTACATTCCATTTAGCCAGAGTAAAAGGTATATATACACACACGGAATTTCAACGTTACAGATCGACACAGACTGAGTAAAATGAGTGCGAATCTTTTACGTTTGATTTTAGCCTTTGTGGTCACTGCCAGTATTACCGGTAAGTGTTGCTTCCTAATGTATGTAATTTCATGATCAATTATTTTTTTTGTCAATAACAAGTGAATGGTTAACTATTGATGTAGTGTGATGCTGGCTCAAGTCCACGATTTATCAGTAGTACTCTGTAGGTTACATTTGCTTTTGTCCAACCACTGCCAACCAATATGAAACGTAGGTGAATTAAGATTCTCTAAAATCTACCTTCAACTACCTTTAGCAAATGAGCGTTATGAAACTGTTCTCAGAAACAATCGTTTAATATAAGCAGCAAAATAATAGTGCTTGAAAGAGATATATGTTATCACAGTTTTATCAAGTTGTAAGTGACTCTTCAAATTTATCAAATATTATCATGATATGTTAGCTAACGATTCATTTAATTCTATGGCACATTATTCACTACCTACATTTTCTTCGCATGAATGATGACTTTCCATTACTTTTGAAGTCAATTTACAACTTGAATTTGCTACTCCAATGTTTAAGACAGAATCATGAAAGTTTTACAAAGTGGCACAACATCCAGCCATTTTATCGAATAATTGTTTTTGTGAAGCTTCATCACAAATATGATTGTGTATATGACCCAAGTATCATCGTCGATAAGGAAGTTACTTTGAATGAACCGTATTCAATTCCTCTGTTGACTGATTTATTCTTGATTTTCAAAATATGACGTTGAAAAACGTGTAGGTTGATGTAAACGTGTTTTGATTTGTGTGGTCCAGTCTATAGAAATAAATCTGATTCATTACAATTGCGTATACATTGTAACATCTAATGGTTGTTTTTTTCCCGTGGTGGAGAGATGCAATTTGTATGACTTTGCACATTCTGTTGTGACTTTATGTCCGGCCTTTTATCACGTGACTTATACACCAATCAAAATATGACTTATACAATCTTAGCACTGTGCCAAACCAATGACGTTCGACTGGTATGTGCAGCCTAGCGTCATTATTGGTCCTATGTCCGCCTTGCCCCTCCACTTGAGTTCAGAACACCAATATCAGCTTCCACTATGCGAATCATATATTTCAAACAGACTGTGATTATATATCAAACGAACAGACCGCATCGCACCATAAAATAGGAATTAACGCTTGTACACAATAATGCCAGAAATGGTAGTGAACGTGGGAGGCAGTAGTTAATAAACTGAGCATAATTTAGGGACAATGAATCGTATAATAATAAGTCATAAGTCACAATGAAGCGTATAATGAAAGGAATATAAATATATCAAATCAAAATATTGAATAGTTATGCGATACGAATATTGATAGAATATTAGTCCATTATTAAGTCACAGACGTTACTCGTTATGTAATCTCCAATAGGATAAAACACATTCATAATACCGTTTTCAGCCAATTTATCAATATAATGATCATTGTCATCTTTAACTTAAGTTTCTACTAGTGAGCCAAAAGACACTCACACATGACACAAAAATACCTACAACTTATGTGTTTTTATTATTTGGACAAATCGGTGTGTAAATGAGTGAATTACAACAAAGTTAAATGACATGATTTCATGTTACTGAGTTAGTTAATCTTAATTTATAACATGTTATCGGGAAAACTGATTGCATAAAGTTTCATTGCGATGATCTGAGAAGAAATCGTTTCATTTATATTTTAGACATTCATGCTTATCGTACAGTTGATCTTGACAGACGTAAGTTCATGTTTGTGAGTTGTTTTGATATTCCGATCTATTGAATTTGTATAACATCATAAAACTAACGTTAGTTAATTTCCACCATCGCGATTCCAGGCGAAAAGAAAAATTAGCATTTCTTCAGTAATCTACAGCTTCAAAATACTGACGAATGTTTACATTTGTTAATCGGAATATGAATTTGACAAACTCATTTATATTGAGTTGGATGTTTGAATACCGAATGTAGATATGTAGTAGAAAACGTCCACATTCATACAAAGCATTTGAATGTTTGTTTCACATTATGTAATTACATCAGTCAAACAAATGTAGTATACACATCCATCATTGTCATTAAACTTACTAATCAGAACAATGTTAAACGTGTTTTATTTCTACGATTGGTTTCTGATGAAATTCACAACAAAATATCAGTTTTTAACAATTTTGAGAATCAACTGCATTTACATTGTAACCATTTGCACAAGCTTTTGTCTGTGAATGATTTAGCTGTTAATGAAAGTGACACAAACGCAGGAATAAATGCCTTCAGTAAGTATTATTATTAAATTACCGCCGTATTACACTGATGAATTAGTTGAATGGCTATTCAGGATTTATCGTTTTTTGTAAATACTGACACCGATTCAACGATGGTTGGTTGATAAAACCTTTTTATAAATCTGGTTTGTGCACAGATTCGTACGTTAGTAATTATATAGACGCAAAGAGTTCGCATTAAAAGCTTCAAATGCAAATAGAGAATTTCTCGACAACTCAATGTATAAAACTGAGTTGACAGCACACGTTGTTGTATTCACGAAGCTTATACATCTTAATATGATAAGCTTTCGAAGACGACATCCAATGAAAATAAACACGCAGTGAGTGTCTTTATTCTGACTTTTATAGATGATCCAGGTGATATAGATGACATATCTCCCGGTAAGCAAATGTAGACCAAATGTCTCGATTATATGGTTTTTACTTTCTTCCAATAACTGATTTCATTATGACTCGGATATCACTTGTAATTTAACGACTATGACTGTGACAGAGACAATGCAGCATCCATATATGTTTAAGGAACTCATTTGAAATACCGATTTAAATGCGTTATCAAATCCTCACTGATTGATATGAATTCCAGTACAGTGGATATGACAGTTTATTACAAACGAGTAAATGCGAAACAGCTTCAAAGTGAGCACGTAGACACCGACCCTCACAACATGCTACATAAGAACCCAGGTCAGAGAACAGACGAACTTTCATCATTTAATTACTGTCAACATTCAATGATCATCAACTCACTTCACACAAAACATTAATAGATTACTTACATTATTTGTGAGCAATTCAATGATGGTGTATTGTTCCTATGAACTTGATGTATTTTCGTCACGCTCTCTCTGAAATCAAGTGGCACGTTAAGCACGACTCCTAGAATTAGCACAATATCATACGAAGTGAGAAATCGTGAATGAAAATGCTCGATGATATACACCATATCATACGTTGTCAGATCTAGTTGGATTAAAGAATCAATTCATTTTGCTGGTAAGTCGCACAGGATTTTTATCAGTCTACATAACGTGTCACGGAACGTTATTTTTATTTCCCAGATATTGCAAGTGCTCGAGGATTTCAAGTGTCATACGAAAGTGGTCATATTTTGTGATTTTGTTATATTCATGTATGAACACGAGATCCTAGAATAATATCATTAGTGTTAAATTTTAATTTTGACGATATAGAATTTTCAATATTTTATTATGAAGGCCATGATTCTTGATCGACTTAACACAGTATACGCATTCGTTCTGGCTGATAGATGCATAAATCTAATCCACATAACGTTTGTTTCATTTCAACAATTGCTTTCTGATGGAATTCATCGCAGCAAATAGATGTGAAGCAAACATACATTTTAATGATTTTGAAAATTCAAACCGTCGTTCGTCTACTTTTAATACAGTTTTAGATTCAGAAACTCTCTGTACAGTGTTTATTAAACTAAGTAAGTACTTTATCCTTGATTGAATGACAATATTCACTGAACGGTGAATTTGATGAATTTCATTTTAATAATACACAGAACAAATGTATGAAGGTAACTGCATGAACAACTCAAGTGTTGGTAAGTTGGATTGAATCTCTTTTTTTTGCTCTGTCTTTCTTCGAATCTGACTTAACATAAGACGTTAAATGAAGCAGGGCAAGTCTACTCACTCTGTTTTGATCTACACAATAGTATTTGAAACGAATATAAATTTATCAGTCAATATGTGCCTGAATTGTGATGAATGGTTTTTGTGCTCAATAGGCGACACGAAATTCGCGTGTGTGATTCGCGTTGAAGTCACGAGTGTGGAATTCTGAGTAGTCTTATACTAGAACAAAACATCTGTGTTGTGCTTGGTGGTCTCCATTGGTTGATTGAACAAAATCGATTGACTAATTAAACTAGAAGATGAAAATTGTCAAATCCGTGTGCAGAAAACAAGTAAATAAATCTTATTCACATTCGAACATCTCTAACAATTCTTCGTCTATCAATTATCTAGCTGTTGGTGAAAATGATGTGAACTCAGAATTTGATCAGATGTGTAAGTCATGATAACACTTTTAATTAAGTTTAGTGTACTCAGCTTGACTTGAAAATTTGATAACAGCTCAACAAATATATCGCTTTTTACGATCAAATAATAATGGTGGAAAAGTAGATAAACGTGCAAGGATTTTTATCACAAATCATTCAGATGTGAGAGAGGATCCAAATATCCAGTAAATCTCTGGTAACCAAAACAAGATATACCAATTAAGTGCATATGAGAAGGTTGTGACAAAAACTGTGTGTATAAAATTGACAATAATTTCATAGCGAATTATGTCATGTTTAAAGACGCTGTGTAGCATCATTCAATTATTATATTGCAGTTATCAAGAACTCTTTCAAGTAGGGTGACCACAAGGATGTGACACACATTCGATAGTCGCTTTCTGGAATAACCAATAATCTTTATAATAGAGGAAGCTTGCATCAAGTTCACTTATTGATTTAAGGGGAGTGAAAGTATTTCTAATCAATTTGAATGAAAGTCATTCGCAAGTCAGATTAGAAGAGGAAGCATGTGTGAGTGACGTTTTACACCTCACAATATCTCTCTCACTGCAGATGAACATCCGATCTGATTTGTTTTCTAAAAATGAAAAACAGCTTTTTTTTATCAATGTCTAAAGCTTTTATGGTCAATGATTAGTTGTGATGAATCACAAATAGCATGAATAAATATTATTGACATTTTGATGGCGCTGACATTTTCAATTTCTTATTTTAAAGCCTTCATCAATCGTCCTGGTCAAAATGATGTCACCGATAATCGTAAGCTGAATTTCTCTCTATTACTGTAATGATGGTTTATTTGGCCAACTTTGAATGATGAGAATTGATACGCGCAAATCGATTTATCTTTCTAAGGGTTCAGTCAAAAACAGATACACATGTGCATTGAACATGCGATGAGAAAGTGACGAGGATTCGTGAACATCGCCTTACTAGAACTGAAGATATGAAATACAGTTACAACAAATGAACGCACGTATATACTTCCGCATGGACTAAAAGACATCAGAAATCAGCTACGTAAATGCCGTAAATCTATGGAGAGGTGTATCATGACGTATGAAACACGTTAGATAAAATGAGAAGTGAGGTTTATGAAGATACGCACCATAATACATGACGTTCAGATAAACCACGCCTTGTAATCAACTTATGTATCTGTATTCACAACAAGATGGTATGAAATGGCTGCAGTGTGTGTACTTTTAAGTAGACAGAGAAAGTGAAAATCAGTAACCTAAGAAACAGAACGGATGGTGATTTATTTCAAGCTTTATGTAATTTGGTAAATGTAAACTTAAACGCAATAAATTTTGCACTTCACACTCCCACATGTTTGCCTTCATTAACCGACAAATGTAGACTACGCTTTGCGATGTAATTTGTGGAGATGCTGTTGGGAAATCGGCCACAATCACCAAGTTATGAGAGTTCAAATGTTTTATGGATAACCAAAACTTTGGTTATGAACCAGTGAAATCTACCGATTTTTAAGTTTTTGCCCAATGCATTGAATTGTAATTATGCGTCAGTTGTCTGCTGCTTAACTACAAAAATGATTGTAAAGTGAATGCATTCAACATAAACACGCGATAACAAAAAGAGCACGAACTGAGTGTTGTTTGTTCCAACTTTTGTAGATGATAATGTTCCAGGTGTTACAGAGGATATATCTCCCGGTAAGAAAATGTAGACGAAATGTCTCGATTATATGGTTTTTACTTTCTTCCAATAACTGATTTCATTATGACTCGGATATCACTTGTAATTTAACGACTATGACTGTGACAGGGACAATGCAGCATCCATATATGTTTATGGAACTCATTTGAAATACCGATTTATATGCGTTATCGAATCCTCACTGATTAATATGAATTCCAGTACAGTGGATATGACAGTTTATTACAAACGAGTAAATGCGAAACAGCTTCAAAGTGAGCACGTAGACACCGACCCTCACAACATGCTACATGAGAACCCAGGACAGAGAACAGAAGAACTTTCATCATCTAATTACTGTCAACATTGAATGATCACCAACTCACTTCACACAAAACATTAATAGATTACTTACATTATTTGTGAGCAATTGAATGATGGTGTATAGCTTGTATGATGATGATACTTTATCAAGTGAACGAAGTATACTCGTTTTTCTGGCTATTAGTTTCATAATTTTAATCCACGTTTATTTTTTTGCATTTTATTAATGAAATTAATCGCAGTGAATCAGTTTTCTTCGCATTTTGACAAATCCCATAAGCTTTTTTTCCACTTTTTATTCAGAATTCCAAAGACAGCGAAAATGCTCATTCATATATGAATTCTGTAAGTATAGCACGCTTGACTGAATGACAATATTCACTGAACGGTGAATCTGATGATTTTCATCTTCTAAATTTTTAGTTCACCCTCATATACAGGATTGCATGAACAACTCAAGTGTTGGTAAGTTGGATTGAATCTCTTTTTTTGCTCTGTCTTTCTTCAAATCTGACTTAACATAAGACGTTAAATGAAGCAGGGCAAGTCTACTCACTCTGTTTTGATCTACACAATAGTATTTGAAACGAATATAAATTTATCAGTCGATATGTGCCTGAATTGTGATGAATGGTTTTTGTGCTCAATAGGCGACACGAAATTCGCGTGTGTGATTCGCGTTGAAGTCACGAATGTGGAATTCTGAGTAGTCTTATACTAGAACAAAACATCTGTATTGTGCTTGGTGGTCTCCATTGGTTGATTGAACAAAATCGGTTTTTCGTGATTGACGCTACTCAGTATTTTAAGTCGATCGCTCGACATTATCTTCAAGTTCATGTATGGTAATGCAGACCTAGCAAGCCAATCGGTGTACGTTTTAACGACGCACGTGGAATTCATTCTTGATTCGCATCACCAAACGTTTATCGAAGTGTCGTGGCAACTTTTCTCACAGAAGGGGCCTTGTTCACGGGTGAATTTGATTCAAAACACAATACAGGCATTACTTTGAAAAGTTGAGATACATGGATTCGGATGGATAAGCGATTGCGTGAAACCCCAGTTTAATGATGAAATCGGATATTTGAATTCATTTTAATTTTCGACATTCATGCTGATTGTAGAGGCAAATGTGATGAGATTAAGTTCATGTTTGTAAGTTGTTTTCACATTCCGATATATTGACGTTGCATGATGTGATAACACAGATATCATGTGCATCACCTCTAACGAGATTATGAGAGAAAATCAACACGGATTCCGGAGTGTTAAACATTTAAAAGAGGGAGAATGCATACGTTTGTTGATACAATCGTCGATAAGATGTATCTGTTTAGTAATTGATAAGACACTTACATGTGTTCCAATAGTATGTTTCAAATATCTATCCACATAAGTTGTCAAATTTTCACTCAATATTTCACATTCCGTTTCATTAGACAAAACAGATTGAACGCAAGCACGTACATTCGAAACACCCCCAACTGACCACCTTAACACAGATTTCCATAATCTTCCAATTATAGGTCCTCAAGAGTAAATAGAAGAACCATAATAATCGGAGTGGATGTCTAATGACCTTTTAATCTGACTCCAACTTGGATGAACGTTTAAATCTGCCATGAACATAAATCATAAATTTGACTCCGTATATTACCTAGACTAATCTCGTTTGTGTGAAGGTCGTAACAAGAGGCCGAATACGGATTTCGTTGTATGAACTAGTTTATCCAGACAGACATTTAGAGAAAGAAGTGGGAAAGCAGAGAGAGGAAGTCATCTGGTTCTGATAAAACGTGATTGAATATTTATAACCGGACAAACATAAACTAATGTGGTAATAAATAGGGTACGCTATGTACACATATTAAAAGCAGTCAGTGTGTTAACGTACCAATAATAGACAAGCTCAAAATGTGACTCAAGAAGAGTGAAGAACATGGTCTGTCTGAAAGCTTATTAGGCACGTGTGAGCTTGACACAGTGCTAGAAAATAAACCTCAAACACATCTCAATGTCGATGGTTTTCTCCATCAAACATAGATGGATGACTTTCAATATTTGTGAGCGTTTCAGTGACCTTGTGACACTTGAATAGAGGTGATGTTTTAACATTACCTATTCTGCCCGTTTATTGCATGGATTTGCGTTTATTTCTTAGAGCAACTTTGTTTTTGATGTGAAATACTCAGAACTCCATACTTTTCTGTACGACTGGTTCTGATTCTTCGACAGTTCGAATATGATATTACCAAATCACTTCACTGATGGTCATAGGCTCCGTCGATTCATGTAGCATTATATTTTGTAAGGTGTTAATAATAATCTATCAAGTCAGTTCAGGTTGTTGCATTCAAATTTTCCAGCATTTCGCCTAATATTCCAGATTGTTGTTCACTGGTTTCACTTCGTTTTTATGGATTTGACAATACGGATTAATGTCGTATGCTATTAAACTTTGTCGTTAAGAGAACTTTACTTTTCTTACCCGTTAGCTGAAGATTTCACTCTCTTTATCTTCAGTCTCCGATTCCTTATTCATCATAACCTTGTGTTGTTTTGTTTTGTATATTTCAACAAACTTTTGTTGATTTCATATTGATCTGTTTAGATGATAAATCAATTTCACTCATGTTATTCATACTACAGTGGGCGTATTTAGGTCAAGTGTGTGGTAGGAATCATCATATGAACTGTTCAAAACAATCATTGTGAACGTTTGAGCATCTTGAAAGTTTAATTTTATATTTTCTCACTATCCCTTTTCTCGTTTACATTATCATTTGACATAGTATCTTATCACTCACCATTAAATTGCATAGATGTGATTTGTCTGCAAGTATATAATCCTGCTCATCAAGTATGTACATTTGTTTCATTCACTAGATCGTCCGTATGAAAATGGAAATTAATCCAAGGACAAGAATAGGTTGGTGCCGTAAGAGCATGAATAATTCAATTTAATAAGTAAATTTAATTGTTCGAAACATTTCTAGTGTTCAGTATTATTAATATACAGTAATTACAAATTTCATGCAATCGGTAGCTGATATGAATTTGAATAAAGTCAGAAAAATCATTGAGGTGGAATGATATGAATATATTATATTTTGTAGATTCTCATTAGTTGTAGACAACCATATGTGAAGAGATGTGTATAAGTGGATGGTGGCTATCAGTGGACTCTTGGTTGCACGTTTCATCCTACTTGAGACTTGTCATCCGGATCTAACTGCATCTCGTAGTTGACGTTCTCTCCGGGACTGGCTTCAAACGCCATTGCGTGATCCACTAAGCTGCTGAGTTTAGATAGTCCCCAGCTTATTCAATGGAAGGAGGTTTTATTTCATTTTATATTGTTCGTTTGAATCGTCTCATTGATGTTCAAGACTGCGATTGACCAGTCTCTTATCAGCACGTGTGCATCCTCTGCATACTACCGTGATACTAGTTCAAGTCACAAGCATTTTAAGGAGAGATGATTGGAGGCTAGATTTGTCCTTTTTGAAATATTTCAACTTGGTTTTATTTATATCGGTCATTTATTCTCTGGAGAATTGGTTTACTTTGAGTCACAAAGCGTATGAAAACCCAATTTGTTCTGAGTGCATTCAAATATTTGACTTGTCCGTACATATATATATATATATATATATATATATATATATATATATATATATATATATATATATATATATATATATATGTACGGACAAGTCAGATATTTCTACTATGAATTACTGTGTGGGAAAGCCTTCTTCGTTATTTAATTCTTTGCTGAGTATGACTCTACTCTCCATAGCCATGGATAATTTAAATATAATATATTCTTACTTCCTGTTCTTCTTTTTCAGATTCACTCGCAAATTCCGTTACCTTCTTTGATCAACTAGTTTAGATGTAAAAACACTGTTAAATAAAAATTATATCAAACTCATCAAGTATTTTGTATTCCAAATACATGTGAACCTTAATTCCAAAATCAACATGATATAATGTTACTTAATTTTGAGCAGTTATTTGAAGTTCATACAACGATACGTATGAATGGCTGTATAGTGTTAGTCACAGTATCCACACTCTATGTCATAATACACTGGCATTCGGTTTCACATATTGTCAATTTGCTGTTTTAGCTGCTGAAACCACATCTATCAAAAGATCTGTCATTCGAATTGGGGAATAAGATGAGATCGACGCACCAAGTGATTATCCAAGAAGAAGTACAGATATTTAAACGTCGGTTGTAGATTTTAGTAGTTCGAGAAAACAAGTAGGTGGATCAGTTAAAATAAATAGTTCCAAACAATGAACCGCACAAAACGAAATAGGCGCGAAAACAGTTAGAAAGTGTCTGTAACAGTGGATTTTAAATCCTTGAATTAGTGTATGAAGAGAGTGTGAATAGTGTTTTGTGGGAGTAAATTGATGAACGTGTGTCCATACTACTGATATTTTTTTAAGATTATTCAAATGTGAAGAGAAGGCGTTCGGTTACACCATAATTATACTCATCCGTGATAAATATAAGCACAGATGAATATCTTTTACATTTGATTATTTGATATAAACCCTATGATGGGAATCGGTTTTGTGGAGATCGCAGTAATATAAATAAATGAATGGAACGGCTACTGAATGGGTCCCTTGTTACAGTTAGAGTTAGCTAAAGTACTCTCAGTTCAGACAGTTAGTGAAATTGATTTGGAAAGGCTACCTGGAAGGCTGATATGGTGATGCTGTACAAGTGTTCTTCTGCCTCACTTTCTGTTGATGATCCTCCTGGAAAAGGCTGGATGACAATGATATCTAAAGCTTTAGACTTACTAAGAGAGATTATAATGTTTGATGGTAATCTCACGATTTATTAAAGTTTCATATGCAATTTCGAAGACTGTTTTGATGAAAGTGCTGAAACCTGATTTTGGTTGAGCTATATGATTCAGTATTGTGACAATGAAGCTGAGTCTACTATTGTTCGTTGTGACTCATTCAAATCAGAAGGCTGTCGTAAGGTGAGATACTACTCACACAGAAGAACTATTTATGCGATCTGAATTCTACAAGGACATCAGGAGTATGTTCTTAAAACTCCCTTTACACATGTAAAGAGAATCGATGGAAGGGACATGTGTGATTCCTAAGACAGGTAGAGAGCCTTTATTTAGGAACATATGCGAATTTTTGAAAGAGCGATCGGAAATTGATTATACCAGATACGGATTATTGGTCAGTGGAGACCCCTCTAACATTGACCAAAGGCATTCGGCTGTTGGTGCATAAAAACATCTCGATTCAGAGTATAGGGCGAGAGTGTCGTTTGCTAACAAGAGTAGGTCCGATGTTACAACACACATATGACCAAACACTCTTAGGTTGTCATATACTGAAAACAACCATTTAGACCAATGTGAATTGTCTAGAGATAAAAATGTTAGTGAAAAGATGGAGTTTGCACTAACAGGGTTGCGTATCTTCTGTTTTAAGGCAATCCAAATATCAAGAAACTGTCAAGTATCGAGGTTATGTATCGTTGTAGCATGTGGCTGGAGACTTTACACCTTGTCACACAGGAAACGGGAAGAGCGGAGAGACAGTAATAGTAATTGTTGCAATTATACTCAAATCTATACGAAGGGAAGTGCTAAACATGAACAGAGACAAGTAGCATTTACAATAATGCCTGTAATTGTAAGAATGGAGAAGGACTGGTACAGATTTGCGCTCTCCTAGATAGCGGCTTATACGCTTCGCTTATTTCGGAAGATCGAGCTAGAAGGCTTAGTTTAGAGGGAGAGTTCATGACGCTTTTATTGAAAACGCCGGATATCTATTCCACATTTGAACTAGAGGTTTTTTCTTTAGATTTTCTTCATCACTCAGAATTCCAGAAGTATGGTTACTCGAGAGACAAACCGTGCCACGTAAAATAGTAATAACGACATCGCTGATGGCATCGTGGTCTCACTTGCACGGTGTGACCCTTCCAACAGTTGACAACAAAGACGATGAACAACTGATAAGGTGTAATTTACGTGAGGCATATTAGGTAAAGGAAAAGAGAATGGGGAAACCCTAACAAACCATGCGCTATAAAAACTACTTCATGTTGGATGCTTGCTTGACTATGTACAGAAAAGATAGGACTCCAGTAAGCGAGTTTGATGCTCAAGCGTATAAGATCTACTTCAGAGTGTGCGAATTCGTGACGACCCATACAAGGAGAACCGTTTTGTTGTATTTATTTCCTACTATATTCGACCCAAGGTGAATTTTATCTTCACTTGTTTTACCATGTAAATTATTTTTCAAGATAAGTGTTGCCAAAATGGGATACAAAACTTCCTAGATAGTGCCTATTGTGGTATGACTAATGGCTCAGAGGTGTTAGGCACCTAAGTGAACTGTTTCTTCCCAAATGTCTCGTACCAGAAACCTTAAAGCCCGTGGCTACTAAAATTCACTGCTTTGCTGGTGCCTTGGAATTTGCATGTGGTGTTATGACTTCTATCCGTTTTGAAGATGTCTCCTGTCAAGTTCACTATTCCCTTCTATCAGCTAAGACCAGGGTCGCCCACTGAAACCCTTATCTATTCCCAGATTGGGATTATTGGTTGCTGTACTATGTGCTAGAATCGGAAAATACATGAGACAACAATTGCCTATCTTTATCTCTTCTGTCACTTATTAGACGGATTCATTAGTCATACCTCATTGTGTAAGAAACGTAAGCAAATTATTTGAGAGTTTCTACAGCGAGCCAATGGAGATTTGTTTAAGGAAAACAGAGTTCTGATAATCAGAAGGAAAGTGGCGGGCCGAATTCACGCAAGAAGGAGAGCCATGTTTTAGAGCGTTTGTTTGCGGAAGAACTAGGCGAACTACCAGTGGAGAGTTATTTGGACCCATGCTTGAAACAATTTAGTATGTCTAAGACCTGGTTGAAAATGCTGAGAACATTTGCTCTAAATAAACAGCTTTTGTATTACTTACACCCTGAACAGTCTTCACGAAGTGTTCTGGATTACTAAAACTCTGACAGCTATCCGAAGAATTCTGAAAAGGTGCTTCTTATGCATGAAACTCAATATTAAGCAGTGCACACAGATTATGGGTCAAGAGAAAGCGAGTCCATGAAAAACGATATGGCTGTTTTTTTCATTTGATTGTTCACACTGTAGATGCTTACAACTTGGACACTGACTCATTTTTATGCGCGTTTGCAGAAGTTTTCAATAGAGACTGAAGGAATACTGTTTGGTTTATTCAAAAATCATATATTAGAAAATGTGGATTGCACAAACGTTTTGCACGTGAAGGTGCTGTCAGTGAAGAATCAAACCAGACATCGGTATTCGGTGTAAGCATTTGTTCAATTAAAATTTGTTGGATTCGTCCCATACTACTGGTTGAGAATCGAAGTAATGCATCTAAAAGCAGAAAAGTAATCTTTATTTAGAGAAATAAAAAAGAAATGGAATTTTTTAAAATTAGACATAAACACTGGAGATGGGCATTAGATACGACAGAATAAGTATAAAAGACGAAAAACTGAAGACTATTCCACGGTCGCTTATCATTATATATGATATGTGTTCCACCATTCTTGTAAGTGACAATTAATGATGTAGCTGATTTTTTTCAATTTTGCATTCGAAACGACATTGTGATGTATGTATTGAGAGTTTTTCTTTATTTGATGGTGTTTTTTTCACCTACAATCAAAATATTTAATTTTGAGAGTTTTTGAATCACACTGATTGAGAGTGAGTGACATTGTTACTTGTGTGTTGTGATTAGATATTAGGGAACAAAATAATGTCCATAGACTGAGACATAGAGTTAGGATATAACTGACCACTGTTTTCATTTTATTGGTGTTATATATAATCAGTGAAGATCAATGATTATTCTATGAGAATGGGTTT